TCTCTGGAAAACCTTTTCTTGAAGAAACATAGTATAAGCAGAACCAGTGGTAACATGTGTCTTTCTTTAAGATAGTTTCTTTTGGAACTGAACTAAGTTAATTTGGTATGCCTAAAGCAAATAAAAGGAACAGTCAATTACACGCTACAAGAGCTTGTCGCGGGTCAGATGTAAAGATTTCGGATCCAAGTGACTCGTCCGATGATGAATATCAAATGGATATTGATGACGAAGAATTAAGTTTTAAAGACAAACTTTTGGTAACCGACATTGGTGATCTTGCTGAAATGTGCAAGTCGAAATCTGACACAAAATATCTTAGTACTTTGCTTTATATGTCGTTGCGTTTCTTCAACATTAAGCGGGAACATGTTGATGACTATTTGAAGAGTATTGGTTTTATGACCGCGGAAACTTCTCATAAATGGGCGACAGTGTTTATTAAAGGAGATTATGAAGAATTTTCAAATGATTTNGTGTTCACAAAAGTCGGGAGAATTCAAGGCTTTGGATTTGGCTCAGTTTATTGATGAAAACTATTATGAATTAACAGGAATTAAAAAGCAAAATGGCGACGATTTGATAAGATCCGAAAGACGTTGTCGCCTAGATCTTCGTAGATGGGGAGCTAAATTCGAAGCGAATTCACAACGCCCATATTTCGAAGGACATGAAAGAGACGATGTAGTGAAACATCGTAATGAATTTATTAATTATTTCCTAGCACATAGAGATTTTTATATTATATAGAAAAGCATGATGACAGATCAATCTGTCGATTAAAGATCATGAAATTTCGATTGAAATAAGAAAAATTGTTCTTTCAGGAAAAGGTTTTCCGGAGACCTCTTGAAGACCCTCTGGAGATCTAGAAAGTATGCCCATTGGATTTGTCATCAGTTTGTACCTATGTGAACAAATTTTCACTTGGTTTGAATGAAAAATAGGCATTTTATTTAAAAATGACCTTCCCGTTTGTCTTATGATACCAATAAAAGCAATTTTTCTCAACACAGAAAAGAAAAAAGATGGTCTTGTAACTTTGTAACTGGTGGTATGATGAGTCGAATGAGGTAAAATATTTGGCTCCATCACGTATGCAGAAAAACTAGATAAGGTTACAAAATCGACCTACACATTTCGAAAAAGATGTGTTTTTCTCGAAAAATGACATCTTCGCAGTATTTCGTATTTTTCGACTGGAAAGAAGTATTTGCTAAGGCTAAAAAGTAGTTTTCGTGATCAGGAGCTCACATTCTATCAAATGGCGTAAAAAAAAAAGCAAAAAAAAATCTCACTCGAAGTTTGAATTACCTGCACCTTCTATAGTATTTCATTGTTCATCCTCCACCTGTAAACTCTATCACTTAATTAGCCTATAGTATGCGTGGCACTTCGATTGTAATGCTTTTAATAAACGTGTTGCCATTTATTATTACCATGACTTATACACATAATCATATGTTGTAGCATTCATTGTTAAAACTGATGTTGCTATATCATCCTTTTCAAGATTTTTATTTTTATTGGATCATATGGCTGCTTTTTATGACACTTTCATTCGTCATGCTGCACTTATTCTTTCAAATTTACTTTGGTCAACATCGATATATTTTAATTTTTGTAATACGCCGGGTCATACCGTGTGAATTTCTTTTTTAAAGCGCTCTACGTCAAGTCTATTTATCTTTTAGTGTTGGCTCCCAAAAACGTGCCTGACTCTGTACAAGATGAAAATGCAAGTAGCATTAACATAAAGTATATCAATAAAGTATATCAATTGAATTACGATGCTGTCATTTACTCATTAACTACATCGAGTAATTTGAATAAACTGGAGAGTATGCAGTATTATGCTGCCTTAGCCACCTTAGGATCAATGAAAGGATCAGCGAAGGACAAATTATTTGATATTTTAGGTTGGATCACAATAAAAGATCATTTTAGAATACTTCGTTTGTTATCTTTTTCAAAAATAGTAAAAGGTTTTACTCCTCAATATCTTACTGTTCATTTACAACGCCATCATCAGCCTCATGATAGATATAGTTTACGTAGTAATCAAAAATCTACAATCGATCCGGTAGACAGTACTGGCGACGATTTTTTTACTGTAGTAACTAAAGAATGGAATAATCTGATACAGAAAGATCCAAAATTTTTAATAATGAAGATTTCAAAAATGCGCAATATATTAAAATCTGAGCTTTTAACATCCAAGTTATTTCCACTAAAATTTCCGTTTTTAATTTTTTTAAGGTGCCTGCAATGCGAATTTCGAGTGAGATGTTTCTTTTTGCTTTTTCTTACACCATTTGATAGAGTGTGAGCTCCTGATCACGAAAAACTACTTTTTAGCCTTAGCAAATACTTCCTTCCAGTCGAAAAATACGAAATACTGCGAAGATGTCATTTTTCGA